AAGATTAAGAGGGTGTTTGAAACTCATTTTTTGGAGAATGAAATTTTTGGAATAGTGATTGATGGGAGATTATGTGGTGGAAAAGTTATGAAAAGTTTTAGATTTGTGTGTAATATTATTTTATTGAAAGAATATGTGGTTGAAATGAAGAGAGAGAAAAAAATGAGAATGAGAATTAAATAAAAATGGGTGTCAAACAGGGCCTTAATCAACTTCAAAATGGCTACCGTAAAAAACTGTTTTATCCTTTCCTTTTTCCAGAATTCTATCGGCTTTGGGTGTAATAATAATAATAATAATCAAATTGCTTCCCAAAACTTCCTCCAAGGGCTGCCGGCTTTTGTGTATATATAATCTCCAATCGTTTTTTTTCCTTAGGAGACCAAAAGAAAAAGAAATCCAATCCTCCTTTGACTCATTTAGTCACCGTCCCTTTTGATCAATCCAACAATACTTCAATGCCAATTGAATCTGATTCCCAGTGCCCTCAATCTTTCGAAATAATAAAATTCAGTACTTGAATCCCTTTATTTGTGCGACCCATGTCTTCTTTAATTTAATTTGTGTCCTTTAATTCTCATAGTGTGGAATTTGATTCCAAATTTCCATCCAATGGTCAATTTATCATTCTTCCAATTCCAATTGCTTCGTACATGTTCATAACTTGGATTTTGCCACTTTTCGCTATTTTGCGTTTTTTTTCTTCAATTCTTCATTAAATATAAAGTTTTACCTATAAAATATAATATAACATAAATTAGGTAGAATTTTATTCAAAAGACAATAAAATATCATGATTTAGAGCCTTGAATAAGTATAAAAACTATTTGAGTTTCCAACCCCTTTATGGCTGCTGAATGATTTTGCAAGGTTGTTTCAGTCATTTTGCTAGTTTTCCACTATTTTGTATTTTTTTTCTTCAATTCTTCATTAAATATAAAGTTTTACCTACAAAATACAATTTAACATAAATTAGGTAGAATTTTATTCAAAAGACAATAAAATATCATGATTTAGCGCCACGAATAATTATAAAAACTATACTTATCTTTCAAGTGGTGAAGAGGGATGGAAGATGGTCTAGTAATATATATTAGACAAAATTTTAGCAATTATTTGGTTTAACTAAAATTAGATTTTTAGTATATTATGATAAAAACTGATAAAATATGCAACTGAAACATCGATAAAAGTTGTGGATCCATTAAAATATTTGATTGAAATTTAATTTGAGATATAATGAATCTTTGAAGTGGGGCGAAAATGGGCTTAGTTGGTAGGGTACTAAAGAATTAAGCCCCCGTTTTATTTTTATTATTTGGAAAAAAAAAAATTTGAATAGTGATTTTTAAGAGAATGTGTGATAAAAAAGTATAGAAAAATTTTGAATTTACATGCATAATATTTTATTGTGTGAATGTACAGTTGAAAATGAGAATATTAAAAAAAAAAAAAGGTTTTCAAATAATGATAAACAAGTTTAATTACCTAAAGATAAAGTACAGAATTTGAAGCTCATGGTACTCTTAGCTATTGATGTTCCTTATTGTGTTTTCTTGCTGTATCGCACCAAAAAAGAAAAGTTATATAATTATATTGGCATTCTCAATTTACATTAAGAATACAATAAAAGGAATATAACCTTGTACCCAGAAACAACGTCGGCTTGTAATTACATTAAAATAAACAAAAATGGATTGTATCTTTTTAATTAATTATTAATTAACATCAGTATTAAAGGGAAGAAGATTTCCCGTTAAATAATTAAATACTCATAATTATTTATCAATTCAATAATTTAAGTTAAAGAAAAGTAAAGAAAGAAGCTTTTTCCTGGTTCCATCATTTTCTCTCACAAGTCCCCACCTTTTTAATTTTGATTCAGCTTCACTCAAACAGAATTTGACTCCTTTCTATTCAAAGTTCAGACACAGTTTTCAATGTCAATTTGAACGATATTTTAAGGTTTCTGTATTTTTTCATCAATACTAAAATAGAAAAAGAAATGGAGGAGAATATTTGTATTGAAACAATGAATCAATCAGCTCAAGAAGATGATAAAAATGAAACCCATCACCATTTTAATCAGGTGAAGCTCTCCTGTCTGTGTAATTAGCTTGTATTTACATGTAATTGTTTGTGTGTGTTCTTCTGTAAGCAAAATTAATTGATTTTTTGGTGGGATTTTTGGGCAGGAAATCTCTGTGTATTTATAATAATCCTAAGACTCGAACAACAGATCAATTTTTTTTATGTAGTTTCCATTTGCAGTTTATAATTTTATTTTCCATTGAATTTACAAAATACACTCATGATCTGATGTCTTTTGAGGAAAAATCTAGTTTTATTATTACATAAAAGTATCTATAGATGTCAGAATTTGATGTATTTGCTGTAGTTTTAATGGAGATCGGTGTACCGTGTTCTGCTTCGCCAGATCAGAGAAAAGGAGAGAGGAGCAGCTAAGAAGGGTTTCAGTATTTATTGGCTAATCCAATGAAAAAGACAGTAATTTTCTATACATAGAAAGGCTTTACTAAGATAGAATTAATAGTGACAAGAATTACTTTAGTACCTGTGTCTCTACCGGTGAAATATAAAATAAATTGGAAGTGAAACAGCAACAAATGCCACATCAGTTGAAATATACAATTTCCATAATCTCGGTTTTTAGTTTTAGCAAATTCTAGGCATTGTAGCATATTATCATCACTTAATTCATTAAGAAATATTTATGACTATTTACAGTGATTTCATGGCGGTGGCTTGTTGTTCTGTACAAATAGAGGTTATTGATGAGTACCGGTGCTCTATTTTACAAACAACTACCATGAAAAGATCCATTTATGGATATTCTTCTAGCAGGCTTAAATGTGATAATTGATTATATTTGATTCTTGGTTGTATATTCTTGAAGATAAAATGAAATAAAATGGTACCGTCCATAATATTTTGCTTTTGGATTTGAGGGTCTGTTAATATGGCATCAAAGTATGAAAATGTTTTTAAGTTCAATTTCATTGCTATCTATTATGATAATTGGATGCAGCAGACGTTCGAGAAAACTAAGCATAGTGTGTTACTTGAGGGAGTATGAAGACGACACGGTTCTATAACTTGGTGCTCATTCAATGTATATAAAGTTGGTTTTCTTCATTTTAGTCTAGAATCCATTTTACCGAGTACAAGATTATTGATACATCCAAATGTTCATGGATTTTGATCTTGCACACATATGTTATTAGAAAGAAGAAAGAGAAGATGCCACCTTAATGCAGCAGAATACAAGACGGCCAAACCTCTCATCTTTGGAAATACCTGTGCGGTCTCTGGAGAGTACATTGTATGATTTTGCAAGAATAGATATTCCAAGTCCTACTTCTACAAAAGCCGGATTGCCCCCTAGACCAAACTCTGCAAGATTGATTTCATCTGTTAAAAGTTTACTTCCCCAAAAGAGTGTCAGGGGTAAACACCCAACTCAGGAAGGTGAGAAAACAGTGCTCATTATCCCAGATACACCAATATTGGACAAGCCTTCAACTTCAAGGTCATTTTCTCTAAACAAGTTTTTATTCTCTCCATCAACAAAAACACATTCTTTACCCGTGACACCAATGGCAAATGCTGTACCTAAGCCCTTGGAGGAAAATCATGTGGATGGCCATTCTAAACTACATGTAAGTCCATTTCCTTATAATTGGTTACTAGCTACATAAAGTGTACTGTTTTCTGCACATTTATTGTATTTTCAACCTTTCCAACTAAACTTTATTTCCCACAGAAATATGAAGTTCGAAAGCATATGACACGCTCATTTTCAGTTCCTGTGAATGTTAGAACCAGAAGCTTAAGGCAGACTGATTCATCTGGAGGTTTAATACGTGTAATATCAGTAGTCCAGCGATCTTCAACAAATGACAATGCCTCCCCAGATATATCCCCTGAAACAGAAGGTGTCAACATCTGTATATGTTAGTAATTCTTTTGATTGTTGAATCCAATATTAATATCCATATTCAGTGAACCACATTTCACTTACGTGGTCAGACGTATTAGCAATGGAAAGCATTATACTTAAATTCCGAAGTGACCTTCATTACTTTGTTCTTTTTCATGGAACATTCGTTTCGTTGGTATATGTTTGTGTTTATTAGTGGTTCTTTTCCTTCCGATAAATTGTAAATTGTGAGTTTGTGACTGATTGTGTATTGAATTAAATTAATTATTCAGCTATCTCAAACCTGAAACAACTCATTCCTAATGGTATGATCTATCTGTTTATATCAATTTTTATTTTGTTTATTCTCTTTATTTGTGAAATTATTTTATTGGTTATTTATAATATGTTACCTACACACAGTCCACGATGATGCTCCACTTCTGTAAGGTCTTCTTCTTCCTGTGTGCAGAATTTGTTTTGTTGAGCTTGGTGAAGGAGGTGAAACGCTCAAGATGGAGTGCAGCTGCAAAGGAGATCTTGCACTTGCACACAAGGAATGTGCCGTGAAGTGGTTTAGCATCAAAGGTAACAAGACCTGTGATGTTTGTAAGCAGGATGTCCGTAACCTTCCGGTCACATTGTTGAAGATTCAAAATCCTCCAACTGTTTTAAGAAGGTCTGCAGCTGTACCAGAACAGAGGGAAATAACTCGTTATAGGCAAGTTAAGCCAATACATGCATTTGTTTTGGAGTTAAATGCACCAATAGCCACTCAACTTTATACTTAGCCCCTGTTTGGTATACATTCTTTTAAAACTCATTTTGAACCACATATTCTTTAATAAAATAATATTTTTTATCACATTAATAATTTTTCCTTATTTTTTAATCACATATTTCCCATCATATCACTATTTGAAATACATTTTTTTCTCAATAATATCTATCAAACACACCCTTAGTGTTCACTCAATTTGATTTTGTTTTACCATGGTCTCCCAACATTGTGTTTAGTGTCACCATGCCCATCTAATTTGATTTTATTTCATCATGATCACCAATTTTTATATAACGTTTCACCATGGCCATTCAATTTCATATAACGTTTCATTATGAACACTCAACTTATTTTCACAATTTTCACTAATTTTAAAAGGAGCAAAACTGTAATTTTGCATTATATATAAAAAAATAAATAAAATAAAAACTTGTATAAAAAACGTTACTTAAAAAAAAAGAATAAAATAAAAACTTATTTAAAAAAACATTTTAAAAATATTTTTTAAAAAATGTTTTTAAAATAAAATATAAACTTATTTAAAAAAAGTAACTTAGAAAAATAAAATAAAATAAAAAGTTATTAAAAAAAAAAGTTCCTTAAAAAATAAAATAAAATAACTTATTTAAAAAAAAGTTTCTAAAATAAAATAAAAAGTTATTTTAAAAAAAAGTTACTTAGAAAAATAAAATAAAATAAAAATGTGTTTTACAAAATCGTTACTTAGAAAAATAAAATAAAATAAAAACTTATTTTTTAAAAAATGTTTTTTAAAATTAAAAAAAAATATATTTTTATTTTTCTAAAATTTATTTTATGTCTATAATGCAAAGTTACTATTTCACTTTTAAAATTAATGAAAATTGTGAAAAGTAGTTGGGTGGCCATCATGAAATATGATCAACTTGAGTGACCATGGTGATATTAAGTATAAAGTTGGGTGACCATGGAAACAAAATCAAATTGGATGCCCTGGTGACACTAAGTATAAAGTTGGGTGGCCATTGGTGAATTTAATCCATTTTTTTTGTCATTTTTCGCCTTTCCTCCTCGGTTTGTATTTTAGCAATCTCCTAATTTTTTTTGCTATGAGCGAAAGAATTGGCTAATAATTCTTGCATTTGATTTAAACATGGTGCTGAAATTTATGCATATGAGATTTACACCTCTCCGATTGCTTTTGACACTACTCAAATCAGAGACATCAATTCGAAGTGTAGTTTATGATTACTACCCTTCTTAACCTTGAAAATTCTAACTTTGTTTACAACCAAATAGTGACATAAGAAGCACAATCAAGGTCTTCTTTTTCATAAATTATGTATTTAACTGCAGAAACTAAACTAATGAGCTTAAATTAACATGAACTCGTTCCAATCATCAGTCTATGAATAAATCACCAAACAAACCTTAAAAATATTTTCCGACGTAACTCAGAAGGTTCTTTTATGATTTTCATTAAATCTAGAAGATTGCAATTTTTTAAGTTTTTCCCTGCGAATTTATCTAAATCCCACCCATGTTAATGCCATGTTAATATTTATTTGTGTTCCTGATTTCTTAATTATAAACATGTTCCCATTTTAAAATTTTTATTAGATTAATTCATTAATATTGGAAATTTTCAGTCCCCAAGTACAATATGACCTATAGTTCGATGCTTTCTCAACCTTAACGTCAATCCATTATTTTTAGTGTATGCAGCGGTAATGATGAATTCTTTAAATCCACTGCTGGACTTTAGTTTACATTTTTATTTTTATTTCATTCATGCCAGGGTCTGGCAAGATGTTCCTGTTCTTGTAATGGTCAGCGTGCTTGCCTATTTCTGCTTTCTGGAACAGCTTTTGGTAATGTTGCTTCTTATTTTTCATGTTTGTTTGTGTATGTGTATGTTTATGTACGCACAGGGCATCTGGCATGTCACACCTATTTCAATGATCACTTACTGAAACTTCTCTTTTTTCTAGTTTACTGCTTCTCTTGCCTGCATATAGATACTCTTGATCCCACTGTAAGTTGAAAGTAATATAAAATCTTCATTGGATCGTGACATTACTTTTAGTTATTGTGAATAAATGAACTAAAGACAAAATATTTTACCATCATTTTTCATCTAGTGTTGATCGTTTTTTGAACCTTCTCTTTTGATACTCTCAAGCTCACATTACATCAGAATTTTGTATGTAATTTGTAGGCAGATAACAACAGCCAGTCCAATCTAAAAGAGATACAAAATCTTCATAGATTTTATGAGATATTACTATTAAATATGAATACATGAAATGCGACTTCCCATTAGATGACATCTCTTTGAAACTTTCAAGTTTGCTCGACACATTAGAATTTTTGAATGTAACATAAATGCGGATAACAAAATTATCTTAGTGCATCGTTGTCAAGAGGGATAGGCATGCTAAAGCACACCATTGTTTCGTAATACTGCAAGAGGAAAAGGCATGCTAATGCAGGGACTGAAAGACACCATGGAGATTTCAATGTAGACGCAGCATGCTAAGCAATGGAGATTGTATGTTGTCATTGGGTGGGTTGAAAAAGAAAGTGAAACTTGTCATAACATAGACTATAGGCTATAGATATCAACTAGATGGATGGAACTTGTACTGATGAATTATATCTCCATAAAACCTCCCAGCTTACTTTATGCTGTGTGTACTCCATTCATTCTCTTCCTGCCCCCAAAAGTTTTGATTTGCTGTTTATTCTATACTGTATCTTTTCCAGAGGTTCTTTGGAATTATTTTCCTTTATGAGTATAGGCATATAATGAAATTGTAATATTTCTAGCATTTCTAAACAATGTTGTGGCTTACAATTGTGGTGTATACATATGTTCACGTAAATGTTCTCACTGTTAAATTTGATTTGTGCTTGTCATTGTCCTTAGTTGTCTGAACTGAAACAGGTGTCCGACATGGGACCTCGGGCTCTTGCCATCTCTTTGCCTTTCTCTTGTGTCTTGGGTCTTCTTTCATCCTTGATAGCTTCTACTATGGGTAAGATTTAATGATTGTTCTCATTTCCTGGGCTCATTATATAAGTACTGTATTTATCGTTCTTTCATGTCTTTATACCTTTTGTAAATAAGATATGTTCTTGTGTTAAATTCTTTATTTAATCTATCTGAGTGGAATACCAAAGACAAATATGCATTTGGAATTAGTGATGCATAGGTGAAAATTGAGAATCACCTAGTATGAATTCAGAAACCGTAGATCTAGTGGAAAATGTCCATTGCATATGTAATAGAAAAAACTTGTACACATGAAATTCTGAAGAGATAACGTACATTCCACAGGAAAACTAATCATCAAATAAATGTAAGGGAGAGGAAATTTGTAGACGGAATTTGATCTTGTTAACAAAGTTGTTATTGTATTCAAAGGCAAATTTGTCATGGATTACCAACATAATATCAACAAAAATTATTTATGACTGAACTCTGATTGTTGATTAAACTCGTAATGAGAGCAATTTTAACTTCAATACTTGAGTAAAGTTTTGAATCAGATGCATTGAGATCTAAAGTTGTTTATAATTTATTTTCTTTCTGGGGCTTGCTTTATTGATTGAATTTTAAGTAAATATAGAGCTGCAAGATCATATCTCGTTTCTTTGAGATAAAAATATATATGTAATGTGATCCCGAAGTCCAATTCACCCTTTATATAGTCTCAAGTGTATTTCCCAAAGGTCAAATTATCACTCTATTTGCTATGGTCTCCAGTATATATCTCAGCTTCTCTCTTTCATTTTTTTTTTTTCCTATTTTAAAGATCAGTAATCGGATTAAGAACTAGAATGACTCGTCTCATTGTTGGCACTTGGCAGTGAGCAAGAGTTACATATGGGCTTATGCATCATTTCAGTTTGCGATAGTGATCCTATTCGCTCATATATTTTATTCCGTGGTCAGTAAACCTTCCTCCTTTTTATGCAACCTATCCTTTCTGTTTTGCATTTTCATTTTCGGCTTTCAGGATATTGTTTGTTAATTCAATCTAATCTAATATTTGGAACTGGGAATCACAATATTATATCGTGCTTCAAAATGTGCAGCTCAATGTAAACGCTATTCTATCCGTGCTGCTTTCTTCTTTCACGGGGTTTGGAATTGCAATTAGCACTAATTCACTTCTTGTGGAGTATTTGCGATGGAGAGCAAGTCGTCAACCGCAGCCTTCCCAGCAGCATATAAATGGTGGCGTCCAATTGCATCCTCAACATCAAATGGAGAGCAAGTCGTCAACCGCAGACTTCCCAGCAGCATATAAATGGTGGCGTCCAATTGCATCATCAACATCAGCAAAGAGACCAACACCACCGGCACCACCGTCAGAACCCGCCTCCCCAAAATCAACGTCAACATAGTCAACATCAAAACAATCAAGAGCAACAAAATCTGTCAACACATAATGTATCTGTTGGATCAGCTGAAAACACTAGGCAGCTTGAAACTATGATGCAGAGTGTATGAACCAAATATTAATCAACTTTTAGGTGTCCTGCATTGTAATAGCTTTCATGAAGTTTGAAGGGTTTAATATGGCTTCAAATTTTGGGATTTATCTTACTGTATTTCCCTACTATCTTAAAAGAGGAAATTCACGATTTACTATTCATTTATGAAGCTTTATTTATCCCCATTTTATCCATATCCATCCTCCGAATATTCACGAAGCTTTAAAACCAAAAACAAAAGGGTAATATGGATTTTCTCGTACCCACAATTGTTGACTCTTCTTATGTCTCTGAGAATAAAGAAAGAAAAAACGGAAGCAACCATTTACTATTGGTAGTCAATTTTAAGTTTAATTGTATTCCTGTTTCTTCGAACTGTTATGACAGTTATTAGAGGTAAGTTACACTATACATGACAAGCATGTTGTAAAACATCAAATACAAAACTCACCTTTCCAAGCCTTTGCTAAAGAACTCTAACGTTGGAAATAGCTTTCAACCTAGGAACAGGTTCGTCAATTGTAACGGTGATAGGTTCATAAGTCAGTTATATAGTTCACCAAAGCATAACTTCAATTAACATTTTTTATTAATACGTAAGAAATGTTGATAGAAGCATACAAAAGAATAAGAAATCTAAGCTTAACATTTCTACAAGGAGACTTCAATTTATTGCAAAACACAAGACGATAACAGTACTGATAAAACATACATTAGGGCTTGTATCAACTTTAACATCTATTGTGATATTCTTGTTGAAGTAAGGGCCTGCAATTGGAGGAAAAAAAACAAACTCTTGTTCTTATTCTTTTATCAAAACAAATTTTGTAAAAAAAAATAAAAATAATAGGGGGGATATGTTAGATATTTTTTCATAATTTATTTGTTTGTTTGTTTGTCTGATTTCCGTGTATATGTTGAAGAGTTGTGTATGTTAGAAGTTAACAGTATTTTTCTCCAACAGACACACCCATCCATTCTAGTCCGGCGGACACTTTTCTTTTGTTGCCATACACAACACAAAGCAACAAGTACAGACCTGTCAATGTGTGATGATATACTTCCTGTAATTTTCTCTCGCTCGTCGAATGGAGGGTCGAGCAAAAGAACGGAATTGGTCTCTGCACACCTCGGAGATCGTCTCTGTGGTGCGCAGAGATGGATGTCTCCACGGTGCACAAAGACCAACTCCGTGGTGCGCGGAGATGCACCATGGAGTTGGTCTTCGCGCACCACGGAATTGTTCAGCTTACGCTGTGCAGAGCCTCTTATGGTGAGAACCTCTTTATGGACCAGGTAATGCTTTGCATAATCTTAATGCGTCTTCTATATTGATTTTCCATTTTTTCAAGTCAAGATTTCAATTGATTGTTACCCAAAGATGAATCTAAGCCCTTGTGGAAACAATGTTCGTTCAATGCACATGTGTGCTTCCATGTGGGAATTTATTCTCTCTTTCATCCCTATGCAAAAGTTCGTCACGGTTCCTTAGGCTTCATTCAAAGTTGGAAAGAGATAGTTATCGTGCTTATTAATCGAAGGAAAACTCTCTGGGCAAATAATGGCATAAACAAACTTATATTCAAAATTTTGGATTTCTAATTGAGCAAACAAGCACTCATTATTCCTTTTAGCTCTATACAGTCGGTGATGTAATGTATAAATCACTCAACACTATGCCTGCACATACAGTATATCTGTCATGTGTTATACCTATTCAGGTGAAATCTCAGTTTCAGTGTAAGCTAACTCATAAACTATCTTTAATCACAATCTAATAATTCAAGTAGAGTAGAGCCTTCACTTCACGTTTAATTTATTCCATCATTTTCTCTCGGGATCTTCTTGACGAAAAAAGGAATGGTGTTATCGAATTTGAGGAGTTTAGCCATGCACTCAATGTGATGGCTGTGAGTTTTGGTACTTTATAGGTCCTGTTATTCCAGTTGCAAAAGTAGATTTTCCAAGTTAGGCTTCTAAGATTCTTTGTCGGCCATCTCCTAAAAGAAGAGCAAATGAAAATTTCCTGCTC